GCCTCGGGAGTCACAGCTGCCATTAGGTTGTCTGCGCCCGCGAACAGGAGCCGCTGCATGACCACAGCTCTGGAGACGCTGTCTCAGTTCACGCCTGCGAGCCCTCTAAGAACACTGGAAGGAAGCAGAGTAAAGAACCCAGATTTGATGCTCAGTGAAAAAGGATTCTAGAGATATTCAGAAAGCTTCAGCATAGAAAGTGGGCCCCGGGTCAGGGACTAGGATTGGAAATTACACAGAAAAGAAATTTGTAGAGAGAATGAAGCAGGTTGATGGTGATGGAACAGGAGGTGGCTTAGAAGTTGTTACTGGCTTTGCATTTTATTTTTTATATAGATTTTTGTTTTCTTCCCTCACTCCCCACAAAAACTTGAACCCAAAATTCACAAGGCAACACTTCATCCATTCAGATATTATAAGAGAAATTGAAGGAAATAATTCAAAGTCAAGGCTGAAAATGGAATCGGTAGGATTTAACCAGAAAAGAGTTAGGTTTCAAAATGTTGAGCCTCATGCAAGGAGCTACAAAGAGAGAGGGAAGGATTTGCAGAGCCATTAAAAGAAGTTAATCCTGGATGAGTTCTTCAGGGCCCAGCGGGAAAACTAACCGTTTGCCAATTTACCAAGATGACTGAACTCAGGAATCTATCTGTATTTGTGGTGCTTTTATTTTACTTTCAAGTATTACCTAATCACTGTGTGTTTGCAGCACACAGCGGTGACACGTGTCGGGGGAGCTGTGTGTGTACACAACTCGTCTTCACTCCTTTCACCTCCTCTTTCGTTCATTGCCCTCCCCCTCCTCCATCTCCGCGTCCCCTTGCCCTTTGCCAAAGATCATCCTGTTTCCTATTTTCTGTCTTACATTTTGCACTTAATTACACATATCTTGGGGTTCTCATATAAGAAAATCCATGTGATATTTAAGCTTGTGTGTTTATTGCATGTAACACTGCACTCTCAAGGTGCATTCATTTCCCTACAGTAGTCCTCCATTCATATAAATACCATGATGTCCTTATCCATTCATGTCTTGATGGACATAGAGGCCACTTCCGAAATTTAGCTATTGTGAGTTGTGCTGCTATAAAAATGCATGTTTTCTCTCACTGTAGTATGAGGTCTTTAACTCTTTGGGGAAGATACCTAGAAGGGGAATAGCTAAGTTAGATGGGATTTCTAATTTTGACTTTTGGGTTAATCTCCGTGCTGATTCCCATAGTGGTTCTACAAGTTTAAATTCTCACCAACAACACAGAAATGTTCCTTCCCCAGAAACTTTGCCGGTATTACTTGCTATTTGCTTTCTTGATGATAGTCATTCTTTCTGGAGTGAGATGGAATCTCAGTGTTTCTTTAATTTCCATTTAATTAATGGCTGGGGTGTTGAACTTTCTTCATGGACTTATTAGCTATGTGTCTTCTTTCTGAGAAGTGTGTATCCATCTCACTTGCCCATTTTTCACTGGGTCTTTTATTTTGCGAGGTCTAATTTTTTTTGAATTCTTAATATGTTTTAGGTATTAGCCTTCTGTCCAAGGAGTAGCTGTCAAAATATCTTTCTTAATTCTGGATTTTCTCTTCACTCTATTGTTTGTTTCCTTTGCTTTCAGCAGAGTTTTAGTTTGACATTATGCTCTTTGTTGACCCTTGAGGTTATTTCTTGTGGGACTGAGTTTCTGCTCAGAAAATCCTACCTGTGCTGTATCTTGAAGAGTTTTGCCTATTCCAGCATATTAAGGTTTATGTTTTAATATTTATGTCTTTGATCCTTTTGATTTTAATTTAGTCCATGGTGAGAGTTCCAGGTCTCTCTTACATATGAATACCTAGTTTTCCAAGAATCCTTTGTTAAAGAGGATGTCTTTCCTCTGGCATATGTTTTTTGGTTCCTTGGTCAAAAATCAGACAGCTGCTGGGTGTGGTGGCACACACCTGTTATCCCAGCCCTTGGGAGGCTGAGGCAGGGGGATCACTGTGAGTTTGAGGCCAGCCCGGGCTATATAAGCAAGTTCAAGCCAGCCTGCTTTAGGTAGCCAGACCCTGTCTCAAAAAACAAAACAAAACATCAGACAGTTGTATGTGCCTGCCATTGTTTCTTTATCCTCTGTTCTGTTCTATTGATCCACGTGTCTGTTTTTGTACCAGTATCATGTGATTTTTTATCATAGTACCTTTGTAATGTAGTTTGAAATCCCTGATTGTGATACCTCTGGCTTCGCCTTTATTACCCAGGACTGCTTTTGCTATTCTAGGTCTCTTCTTCCATATAAATTGTAAGATTTTTTTTTTTCTAGTTCTGTGAGTTAAGCTGTTGGTATTTTAACTGGGATTGGATTAAATCCATATATCAATTTTCCATTTTCTGATGTCCTCTTTGATCTCCTTTTGTAAAGTAATATAACTTTCATTAAAGAACTCTTTCACTTCCTTTGATAGGTTACTTCCGGAGTATTTAATTTTTTTAACCTATTATGAATAATATTATTTTCCTAATTTTTTTTTCTTTATGGGTTCATAATTGGTGTACAGCACTACTGATTTAGTGTCCTGCTACATTGCTGAATTTGCTTATTAAGTCTAGGATCTTTTGGTGGAATTTTTGGGGTCTTTTAGCAAGGATGATTTTATCTGTGAACAAAGATAGTTTGACTTACTCTTTTTCTATATGTATCTCTTTTATTTCTTTCTCTTGCCCGATTACTCTGCTAGTTTCCAACACTGTATCAAACAGGAGTGCTGATAGTGAATATCTTTGCCTTGTTTTTAACTTTTGTGGAGCAGTTTTCAGTTTCTTCCCATTTATTATGATGTTGGAAGTAAGTTTGTCACACATGGCTTTTATTACACTGAGATAAGGTCCTTTCATAATTTTTTCATAAATTTTACCATGAATGGATGTTGAATTTTGTCAAAAGCTTTTCTGTGTCTGTTGAGACAATCATGTCATTTTTGCCCTCCCTTCTGTTTATGTGATATAATACGTGTATTGATTTGCATGTGCTGAACTGTCCTTTCATCCTTAGACGAAGCCTACTTGGTCATAAATGCATGAAGCTTTTAACAATTTTCTGCATTCCTTTTGCCAATATCTTGCTGGAAATTTTTGCATATGTGTGCATTAGAGAAGTTGACCTGTATGTATTTCAGTGCATTTCAGTTGAGTCCTTGTCCAGTTTTGTAATTAAGGCAATGCTAGCTTCCAGGAAGGAGTTAGTCAGTACTCCTCCCCTTTCAGTTCTACTAGTATGAGGAGTATTAGCATTAGCTCTTTCCTGGAATTCTTATAGAATTCCACATTGGTTACAGGGCTTTTCTTGGTTGATAGGTTTTGTCTTTGTTTTCTTGCTTTTACTGCCTCAATTTCATTGCCTGTTACTGGACTGTTGAAGGTTTTTATGTCTTCTTGCTTCAGGTTTTGTAATCCAAGTATATGTAGAAATCTATCCATTTCTTTTAGCTTCTGCAATTTACTGGAGTATAGTTATTCAAAATAGGTGCTAATATTGTTTTGGATTTCAGTGATGTCTGCTGTGATATCATTTATTTATTTCTAGTTCCTTGATTTATTTTGTGACCTGTTGGTTATTCATGGGTGCATTGTTTAATCTTCTTGTATTTGCATAATTCTGAGGTTCTTTTGCCTGTGATTTCTAGATTCATCTGATAATATGCATAGTACTATTTGGATTCCTGATGGGATCATGTAGTCAGTTTTAGGGGAAACCCTGTGTACTAGTGAGAGCACATGTATTCTTTTGTTGAAGGGTGGGACACTTTGCAGGAATCTACTAATTCCACTTGTTTTATGGTTTAATTTAACTCTCATATTGCTTTGATGAGTATTTTTGTCTAGTTGATCTATTTTTTATGGAAAAAAATTTCAAAACAAAATCATAGAATAACAATAGTTAATACAATGCATATTGTTATCTTCAAAGTAGTTACTCAGAGTACAAAACACTCTGACTATTTTTTTGCGCCTATAAAAAATTCTCCAAATGATATTAGCACAAACCTTCCTTTTTTTACTTTAATTTTTGATTTTAAAGGGAATAATAAAAACAATAAAATGATACAGAATTTAAAACAAGGTGATACAAAATTAACAATGGTTATTATATTGCATATTATCTTCAAAGTAGTTGATCAGACTATGAGATATAGATATGTAAGATTGGTCAAACAATATAAACACTAACTATTCCTTTCAATGAACTAATAGAAATTAGTGGTATAATTATCTTAGCTAATATATATATGTAGTATAATTATCTTAGCCTTATATATATATCTGACAAACTAAATTATAGTGATGATTCAAGGTGGTATCAAAGCCCACCAGCCTTGATTTCCAGGCAAACACCTGTTGTGTTTATTTCCATGTCTATTGACACATGGGATTACAGCAAAGAAGTTCTGAGAAGGAGCATACTATGGTATTTGGGATTAGATGCCATTATTACAAGAGAGGATTAATGAATGGGGGATTTATCTTGCATTAAGTGCTGTTGGGAAGAAGAAACAATTCCATGACTGGGTAGTTAGTCATTTTTATGCAGAAGGTGAAAGAATGAAATGTTAACTGGGGTTGCTACCAATAAAAAAGAAATTGTCACTCTTGTTAGCGAGAGGAAGGGCAGTTATGTTGGTAGGTGCAAAGTATCCTTCTCTCTTTCAGACCCAGTCAAGGGATGGCCTTGTCTGTCTTGGCTACCTTGGTCTCCACTTCTGGTTATTCCTTATGGTCTTCAAGCATTATTGATGCTCATTGAAAATATTTGGCCTGGTCCAGAGCTCCGTTTCCAAATCCTCATCTTTCTGAATGTAAAATCTTTTTATTCATATGATTGCCTTTATCTATTTGTTTATATTTCTTCCTATGAAGATGTTTACTAGTTGAGAATATTGACTAATAATCAAATAAAGTGGTGCAGGAACTAGCAAGATGGTGGCGTGGTTCTCTGCATTTCTTTTCTTATTGCTAAGACACAATATCTGATACTCACAACTCAAGGAAGGAGATGTTCATTTGATTCACTGTTTCAGAGGATTCAGCCCATGGTCCGCTGGCTTCAAGGCGGGAACATTATGGTGGAAGGGCCTGGTGAAGACAGCTGCTTAGATTACAGCATCTGGGAAGCAGGGAAGAGGAACCATGCCAGAGAAGAAGGAGAGACGGACCAGATACAGCACCCACGGTCATGTCTCCATGACACACCCACACACACCAAAACATGTGCTTCACCAACCCCCAGGTGGCTCCCAGAGCGAGTCAGTTTGACACTCCCCTTAACTGTCACAGTCCCTTGCCAAAACCTCTAGTTCTACAATAAGAGAGAACAGCAGAGCTACTGTGAACTTACTTTAAAATATCAGAGATCTCAGCTGGACAATGAAACAGTGTCAGAGTCAAAGAAGTCGGAGTCAAGAGCTTTGATCATGTCAAGCCGTCTAGTCACCCACATGAGTCTTGCCTGTGTCTGGACTTCAGTTTAGCCACATGATTCCAGGACTGCTTGAGTGTCTTCTTCCTGGGTTGATGACCCCACCTGCTTCAGCTTGCCCCTTGTCTCCACCTTGAATAAGTGATACCGATGGGTGTTTACCAGAATTGCCCCAAACTGTAAAAACTTGGGGCCAATAGCAAGTGTCTCTCCACGCTTCCCCTTAAGCACATGCCAATGGGTCTAGAAATAACCAAAGACCCTGAAGTGTTTGGGAAAGCTTCAGTAACAGACCTTATTTTTAGTTTTTGGTGCTGACGTAACTTTTTCTTATTGTTATATTTTCTTGGTAATACCCATAAGAACTGGTAGAGAGGAAAGAGAAATTAGTTTGGAAAGCAATTTTTTTTTCTTATCTAGAGAAATGTATGTGATTTTATTTTCTCCTCTAGAGAAATGCATGTGATTTCTAAAGACCAAAGGAAGCAAAGGCATATTTTCCCTGATGAGAATTTGAAAGATCTATACGTGAATAGTTCTAATTTCTTTAAACTTTCATCAACCTAAAATTCTCAGAGCATAACAGATCTTATGTCTCATTGTTTCCAAATGTGAAGGAAATAGGCTTTAACAAGGAGGTTTGAAAATGGTTTTAGTATCTTTTTTAAGGAAATCCTCCTCTGTCTGCTACAAAACTGAACACCTCAAGCATGCACCGATCTAAAGCACAACATGGGTGACCCATCAGAACCTGCTGACTGTGGTGAAGGGGAAGAATGGGTTTGAATCTGAAATTCTCCTCAAGACCAAGGGTGAAAATGTGAGCGCCAGGGAAGCAATTCTCAGAGGCGGGGCCTGGATCCTGAGGGTACTGACAGCACGGATGGATTGATCACCTGAGGCCAGGTTGAGTGGGCCCTCAGGATGCAGGGCCTATTTAGGGGAAGTGACTCATGGGGCCGTGCCTGAGAGACTTGTTTCTGGCACATCTGCCTGGTTCTCCCTCTCAGTTTCTCTCTTTCTTTTGTCCCTGTGAGATGAGCCACTTTGCTCTCGCACACGCTCCCAGCCTGATGTTCTTCTGCCTCCCAGTGGGACCAGAAATACTGAAGCCAAGTGCTATGGACTAGACCCTGGGACGCAGGAGCCTGATGAGGCTTCCTACTGCGAGCTGCTTGTTTTTTCTCAAGTATTCTGTCATAGTAACGAAAAGCTAACATTGGATTTTGTGAACAGGAAATAATCAAATATACTTCAAACTACCTCTTCTCACATAAAACCCTAACCACTGACCCATGACCCCAGTGAATGTGGCAGAAAGGAATGTAGGAAATTGAATGATGTGTTCAGCAAGAGTTCAGAGCAATACAGAATCTCCACATGCTGTCCAGCCATTCTTCCAGGTAAAAGCAAAATAACTAAGATCTGTTATTTTTTATATTGTGCACTAATTTGGGTGAGAGTGTATGATTAGTTTCTTTTTAAATGGCACATTAGTTATGTGCTTTCATGAATGTAATCATAAACTTTTAAAATGAGAAAAATTGGAAGGAATCTGTTTTATAAAATTGTCTAAAAGAATGTAAAGAAATGTGTCCCAGGTTCAACTAATTTTATTAAACACATAATCACTCAAGAAGTAAATGTAGCTTTATTTAGATTTTTTCATTTCTAACTCTGTACTATGATTTTCAAGACAGGATGGAAAATAATTTCCTACATTTATATGATCAAAATTTTTTCAATATCACGGCTATTAAAATTTTCTAGAATATTTTCTACAGCATAGAAAAAACTCACATCTATACAACTTTCCTCATTTTTAGTAGTGAAACCTGATGGAGAGCAGCTAAGTGATTTGCCCATAATTTGGTGACATCAGTGTCCAGAATGGTACCTGGGACCCTCTTCTCAAGCTAATTTTTCTAACATCTTCCACACAGCAAATACTTATATCTATCAGCAACAGGTATTTCTTTTAAACCTGCTTACATGTATAAAATGTGTTATCTGTAGAATGTATTAAAGAGTTCTTTTGGCCCATGACTTTTATAATTAAGTAAATAATTTGCAAATGTAAAAATTGTATGCTTAACATTTTGTTTGTATTTGGCTTTTCAGATATATAGATACATAGATAAATTATATATATATATAAGCATAAACAAACTAAGACTGATAGGAGTGAATAATTTTTAACAAAATTTTATTTTGTTAAATTTTGTGTTATATCCAGTCAAATATGGTCAAATAACTTAAATCAGCCTATCAGATGCTTCTCTTCATTGCTATGCCTGCAAATTTAAACTGAATCCCATGTTTATATATCTGGTACACATTCAAAATTAAGCATTCAGTGATGTCCCTGTTGTAAATAAACAGCTTTGCTATTAATCAATTTCAATACCTCAGTAATATGCAAAATATATTAGTTTTTTGAAGGTAAGAATCATCTACAAAAATATTGGAGAAGCACTTAGTTTAGTAAGGAAAGCTCCGCCATAGTTGTAACTGTTAAAGAATCAGTCAGGGGAAAATATAAGAGCATTTTTATGCAGAACTCTCCTGGAACTTCCCCTGAGAGGCCTGTAATCTGTGTGGTAAATTGAATAAAGAATATATTTTTAACCAATCTGGAGATAACTTAGGAAATAAAATATACTAAAAATCTGATAACTGCCATTACTGAGAACTGTTACTTTTAAGCCAAGATACAATATCTGGATTAATATAACTATCTTGTACAGTAACTGCATTGTTACCATGCTCTCCAAGGGAATATACCTATTAGTGTTTACTGCACAAAAGTATTTTTGACTCAACTGTCACCAGCTCTAATTCAGGGAAAGGGAAGTATATGCTGTTCTAATGGAGAGAGATCTGTACATGAAAGGAGTCATTTGTTTTTCTGTGCTGGGAAAACCTGCCATCTGCAGTCTGAGAAGCAGAAGCTTCCTTCTCCCTTTCCCCGAGTGTGTTCTTCCTCAGGATGTCCTCTCTACATTCTCAAGAGCTTCCTTTCTTCCTGGTCTTCTTCTCATCTCAGCTAAGTACACACGAAAAGGTGTGCACTTTTGCGTGTGACCTTTGCGCACCCCGTCTCTGGAATCAGTGGAGTTCGAGGCCCTGTGAAGGATCTGCTTCAGAAGGACCTGTTGCTTTGATTTCCCTCTCCTGCATCCAGGCCTATGTACAAAGGCCTATCTGAAGTGTAAATTATTGCACATGGATCCTCAGTGGCACTTACCTCCCTGTCCTCAAAGCTGAACAGTGCCTACTGGTAACACGAGTTTGACATTACACTTGGACAGAGCAATGGGTATGCAGTAAATTTAATTCTGTGCTATTTAGGAAAATTTTATGCTTAAAGATATAATAGTTGATCAACAGCCTGACAGCTTTCTTGGAACTGGAACTGAGGAGTTTCCCAGGAGATAGGTTCAGCACTAAAGGGTCAGCACACTTAGGCGATTCATCTACCCTTTTGTACACAGGACACACAAGAGCAGGGAGCAGAGGGAGGAACCTCTAATCTGGAGCAAGGTGAGGTCTGCTTCTGTGGCCTCCCCCGAAACCTCGTGTGCTTGGTTTCATCTTGTACAGCTGCCCTTGCCTGGAGGCAGTGACCCCAGCTGCTCCCTACCCCCCCACATCCCCCTTCACTTGCCTGGGTCCCTCCTCAGGACACAGAACCCCCAGTGGCAGGGTCCCAGCCAGCTCTGTCTGTCTGTACTGCTTTCCTTCTTTTTGTTCCTCAGAGCTCACCTACTCCGTGCTATTGCTCCAGAGCGTATGCACACATTCAGCGACCAGAGCTGCCACACATTCTGACCCACACACGCGTACTCCCATCTCATGCATCCAACAAGGACTTATTAAATATCTCCTCCTTGCTAACAATGGTGCAGGACTTGGCAGTAGACACCAGGAGAGGACAAAGGAACACACTCCCAAAACATCGCACGTGGACAAGTAAACAAATAAACACCTCACTGTGAACTCTGACCACTGAATACTGAGTCTTGTCTCCTACAGCAATATGGAGTTAGTTGTGCACAACTTCTGTGGTGCAATCAGTATGAAACTTTGCTTTATGTGGCTTTCTGTTTAAAGATGTATTGCTTAGTGCATATCCTTGGTTAGTTAACATCAAAGTCATGGCTAACAGCTGTATAACATGTGCCAGTCCAAAGCTCATCCACATGTCCAAAAGTAACTGAAAAGGTGCTGTAACTAACTGACTCTGTGTTTACAAATAAATGTGAGCTGGTAGATCAACTCTTAAAGGTGGAAACCAGAGGTACTAAGTGCTCACTATGATGCACAATGACACGTGTGGACAGAACAGGAGAAGTAAAATGGGTGAGATACGCAGAGCCAGGTAGACACAGAAGCTGGGCCGTCTGGACCTGCAGAGCAGCAGCAGTGGGGATAACAAGGGCTGGCTGAGGTGTTGTCGGAGCACAAAGGGTGGAACATCAAAAAGATGTCCACAGCCCCATGCCAAGTATGCCTCAGTTCACAATACACACGAATGAAATCAAGCAAAGTGTCATGGAGGAGCAGGTAAAGGACACATGGAATATGAATGCAATAGAGCACTGTCCAGCCATAACACTAAGGGGATCCTTCACCTGTGACAGTGTGGGCGTGCCAAGAGGACATTACGCTGAGTGAAAAAGGTCTTGTCACTCATGTGGGGTCTGAAGAGTCACACACACTGGAGCAGAGAATGGAACCTTGTCACCCGGGGCTCGGGGAGGAGGGGGCTGGGAAAGGCCCTGGGGAAAGGATACCAAATGTAGGGTGGGTGGGAGGGACATGTCCAAGGGATACATGTGCAACATGGTGATGATAGTTAATAGCAGCACAACCTATGTTCCAAAGTTAAGAGACTACATTTTAAGTGTCACCACAAAAGTCCTAAGAATGCGAGCGAAAGGGCACAGCTTGGTTTAGCCACTCTACAGTACACACACAGGTAGAGACTTTACACTGCATATCATAACTATATAGAAATGTTCAGTTACTTTAAAAATAAGCTAACCACAATGAAACAAAAAGCCAAAAGAGATTAATTTAATGGAAATCAAATGTGAGGTTAAGTGAAAGAGCTGGCATTAATCATCAGGATTTGAGGTGCTAGAAAAATCAAGAAAGACAATAAAAGTCCCTGCTGCGATGGGTGCGACCAAGAGCACAGGCGGACCGTCAGCCTCAAATTTGAAGCACAGCTTAGGGGAGAGCAGGTGCAGCTATCACGTAGATAGAAGGAAGGCTGAAGAAATTTGTATGGGATAGACTGTCTTTTCTTTGCAAAATAAAAGCATTTGTACTTTGAATCTTTCATGAAGAAGACAAGAAGTCCATCGCCGTCTCCACAAAGACATCACATCTCCAGTCATGGCACGTGTGTATGAGGAACAGCTCTTTGCTTGGGGGGAGTTTCTAAGACCCCCTGTATCTCATTTTTGAGGTGCCTGAATCATACCCTGATTGAGAGGAAGCTTTAAGATAAGAACTAAATTATTTTGCAGAAAATAAAGTTGCTGTGAAGAAAACTGCTAGTGCGGTTCTACTTTTGCTCCTAAGGAAGCCCAGAGCCTGGTGTGACAGCGGAAGCGGCACCGTCTTGGACAAAGCAGACAGGTGTGCGGCTGAGCTGTGCGGCGGCATCCTGTCCTTACCCAGTCTGATTGGCCGTGCCGCAGATGAGGAACCTAATATGAGCAGAGGAGCTGTGTTTTCCTGCCCTGCAATTTGATCAACAGGAAAGGTGGGGCTGTGGACATCCTCCTGTTGCTCTGGACGCCATGGGGGACCTGGGACTTCTGACAACCCCTCCCCCACCAGCTAACCATGTTACCAGTGCTGGCCTCTCAGATTTCCACTCGCAGGTTCTGGACACGCAAAGGTAGTAAAGTTTTCATCTTTTTCTTTCAAACTTAAAGTGGAGGAAGGTATTTGTCAGAATAGCTCTGTTTTTTGTGCACTTGGTCCTGGTACTCACTGGCCACTGACCCAGGCCCTGCAGCGAAGCGCTGTGACTTCTGCTTTGCCTATTGTTGGCCCTGAAACTTTGCATTTTTCCTGCGGGTTGTGGGCGGCGAGGGCTTGTGTTTTCAGCCATAAACCACCAGGCTGGGGCCCTGCCTGTACCTAGACAGCTGGACAGAAATGCGTGCTGCAGGGCTGGGGATTTAGCACAGCGGCAAAAGCGCCTGCCTGGCAAGCACAAGGTCGTGAGTTTGGTTCCCGGTACCGGAGAAAAACCAAAAAGAAAAAAAAAAAAAAAAAAGAAATGCGCGTTGCAGCTCATCTGTGGCTGACACTGAGTGACTTTTGCCAGGTCGCTGGGGTCATCACGCCCCCTTTTTTCCAGCCAGCTCTGGATACGTGGCTGGACCAGGAGTGGGTGTCTTAGGGACTACCTTTCGCATCTATGGTGAGTTACAAAAGCGTACTGGTTTGGGTTTTGACTCACAATTAGACTTTTGTTTAAAAAGAAGAACTTATTACTGTCAGGAAATTTTACTATTTGTCTTGGCTGAAACCTGAGAGGTAATGAAAGGATTTTTTAAAGAGCTTGATTACGGCGGACATTCAGAACTTACATGATCTATTTTAAGGCCTTTTCTCCTATGCTAGAATGGTACTCTGTGCTCAAAAGGACATAAAACATCCTGAAGCCTTTGTGGAATAATTTATGGAAACATTCCAGAGGTGTGAAGCTATAAACATGGGAATCTTTTGAGTTTCATTTATTTGCAAATCTTTTCCTTGATATAAGAGGCAAATTTTAGATAATGTAATTAGATAAGGAGATCACACTTGGGTATTGCACAGGCTGTGAGCCAACTCTTTGCAGAATTAAAAATACCTGAGCAGCCAGCAGTGATAAAGGAAAGAGGAACTTGCATCCCTGCTCATCCATAGGACTGGAACCCCATCCTTGGTCCCTGTCTGGATTCCCCAGCCCAGCCCTTCTCTTTGACACAAGAAATGGAATCATTCAGCTTACACTGCCTTTTACCTGTTTTCACTGGGTTCTTCTAGCTGGGGACCATTTTGTCCTCAGAGGTAAAAATCTTTATTGACCCTAACTCCATCATAACCCATCTCATTTTTCCTCTGTGAAAGTCTAAAATACCAGATTTCATGTTGCTGCTATGTCCACATCAGCGTCAGAGCCTGTGTAGCAGCTTGGAAGCCATTCATTTTGCCTCCTTCTGGCCCTTAACTTGGCTTCTCACCCAGGTTTTGTTCCCTGCTCTCTTTTTCATTGTAATTTCAACCACTACTTGTTCCACCGGTCCAGCTGTCCTTCTTAGCCTAGTACCCTGCTCTACTCAGAAGCCTTCACTTCTAGCTTCATCCTTCATGTACCAGAATCTGTGGCTCTGCCTGGATGTGGACCTCGTGTGTGGGTATGAAAGTGTGCAGCGGATGTATGGTGGTTACCCTAAAAGGAGATGGGCTGCAGATTGATTGTGTTCCCCTGATATGCGCACTTTGGAAGACGATTTCCAATGTGATTCTGCGTGGAGGTGGTTTGGGGCACTAGATCAGAGCTGATGACTAGATGGAGGGCTTGAGGAAAGGGGTCTCAGGGAGCCATGCACCCCTTGTCTGCTAGAGCTAAGTGAGAAGACACTGTCTGTGAACCAGGACACGTGACCTCGCCAGACACCAGAACTGCTGGCACGGTGATTTTGGGTTTCTTAGCCGCAGAACTGTGAGAAATAAATATCTGTTATTTCTTAGCTCCCCTGTCTGAAGTATTTTATAAATATTTATATCGTTATAAATTCTAGAAGCCCAAGTGGACTAAGACAGTACATATAAATCAAATGAGGACATTGCTGGACACTGGGGACTCACTGAATTATGGAGCCACGGCCAGGAAAGGTAGCACAGAGCCTGACCAAGCCAAGGAAGCCAAGCAAGTCTGCTGCACAGGTCTCCAGGAGCATCGGGGGAGCCCCTGTTAACCTCTGGTCACACCCAGATCTCCATGTGGAAGCATAGGCTTTTGCACGCAACATTTGCTTCTTTTTCCTGGCCAGATCCGGCTCTTGCCTCACATCCGTTCGAAGTTGGAAAAGGTCAGAATGACAAGTAAAGATTGCACACACTCACACACACACTCACGCGCTCACACACAGAGGTTAGATTCTGCTGCTAAAGAGATGGCTGACTGAAATGAAATATGCCTGATCCTATCTCTGTGGGGATTTCTCCTCTTCCACACTTATGTGTGAACTTTCCCCAAAGACTTCTGAGGGGAAAGCAAGAGATGGAGTTTAATAAACCTGTCTGTGCTGCTTCCCTCTGTCTCGTTATAGTGGATGATCATGTCACACACATTAACTCACAATATGTTCATATAATAATTCTTATTTAAATAAAAACATTGGCAGGAGATAACTCAGAAGAAATTATCACTATTGTTAGTGAAAAAGTGCCAAGTTTCCACTGTAGAAACTTAGCATGTACATTATTAATCACTATTCTCATACTATTTCTGCTCTAATTTTGCTCTCAGTAAGTCAAGACCTGAGAACGAGGTGTTCTGTCCTGTTTCCTATGTTTATAAACACTCACATTGACGCCGGCAGCTTTCTCCTGGGGCCACTTCCCTGTGCGTCATCAGCTGACGTTCCTGTCCTGCACGAGGTCAGTACCAGGCTCAGCGCCGCTCCGGGGTCAGCACGGCCTGCTTCTGCAGACAGTGGCACCTCCGGCACCCTGCCGGCCCCACCCTGACTGCCCTCGGCGCCAGAAGAGAAATGATCTCTGCCCAAACTGAAAGTGGAATTAATTCTCCCAGCCTCCAGCTGGAGTGTTACGCACAGTTTGTTTCCCCCAAGGCAGCCATAATTTTTCGGGTCCCTGCAGACACCGCACCGCCACTCCGAGGCAGAGGAGCAGCGGCTTCCGGCCGGCAGACCCCGCCAGCCCCGCAGAGCTTTTATTTGATGTTAATTTGATACTCACTCTGGAAGCCACACTTGCTCTTAGCCGAAATGCTGATGCTAAATCGCAGACGCTATGGAATGTTCGTGGAGGAGATGGATTCAGCTTCACAGATGTGAATAAAGAACTAGAACTTTACTAACTGAATTTGTTACCATGAGTATGTTACAAAGTGCCAAGACCACGCCTAGCTCACTCCATGACTGCATTTTCTAAATCTATGGTCACGACTGATGCCGAGAATCATTGGAAAGAACATGATCGCAGGAAAAAGAGATCAAATGAAGTTAAACATAAATACAGGCTGCGACTGAGCACTAGCACAACTACTCAATTTTTATTGGCTGAGCGTCACCCTCAGTGTAATCTCTTCACTGCATTAACTTGACATATACATTCCTAGCAGAGTTTGAAGGTCAGACATAGGAGCTGTTTTGCTTTACTAATTTTCCGCTGTAAAATAAGACAGGACGGATGTTAGGGTCACTTAGCTTGGGTCCAGTCCCTATCCCTTGCTTCCATGTGGCTTCAGACAGCACCTGTAAATCTAGCTTGAAGTAGTGTCTAATTCACAGGAGGCTGTGGCGGATTAAATGAGCAAAGAAAAAAAAAATTTAAATAGACCTGGCACAAACTATATGCTATGTTCTTTAATTCTTGTTTGTTTGTTTGTTTGTTACCGGGAATCAAACTCAGGATCTTGGGCTTGCTAGGCAGGTGCTGTGCTGCTGAGCTACCTTCCCGGCCCTATGTTATATTCTTAGGTGTAAAATAAATAAATATCTTAGATAGTGAATCTAATGTGTGCAATTCTAAGGTTTTCATGTGTAAGTGTAAACAAAATTATTCTGATAGATTCCTACTATAATTGAATATATATTGGTTTAAATATTAGATTTTTAAATTATTAGCTATTAACAAAGAGAAACTACATTAAATTTCCATCTAGAGCTAGTGAGAATACTTATTACTGACATTTTCAGTTTGCTTTGTGCCAAAAGACAGTTTTATTATTGTTAACACCTTGGAATTTAGAGTCAGACGTTCAGGTTGTGAACTGTGGTTCTTTGGTTTGAAGCTTTATGATACGATAATAATGTTCGTCCAGATATCATCTACTGTTTGCAGAACTTGCAAAGACCTCCTATTCTGAAAGCTGCCTATCATTTTATTAACTGTGCTCTTTATTTAATAGATTGTTAATTTTAATGTAATTCCATTTTTCAATGGCCTGTGATTACAGAAGTTTTCTAATGAAAGTTTCGCACTCCCTTACATTCATTCCTTTCTCAGTGCATGTGTTTATGTCTCTCATTAAGATCATTAAATCATGTAACATTCATTATTTTAAGCAGCGTTACATTACAGTGCCATTTTGTTTTCATCTACGCAGTGAGCTAGTTCACCTGGCATTATCTACTAGTAACTGTCTTCCCACTGATTTTTTGTTCCACCTTGTTATAAATTCACCTTCTGTCAACAATCTGTGTTCACTTTCAGGTATGCTGATCAGTTCACCTCGTGCTGTGCTATTACCAGTCTTCCTCCTTTGTTACTACCTAGCTTTGTGATAAGATGGCTTAGCATCTCGCAAGCTGAAATTACTACACATTAACTTAACTCTTTAGGAACAAATAAGATAGAGTATCAATGTTATTTACCAATTTTGATCCCAGTGGCACTGAACTTGTACCCTCATTGGAGAGAATTAAATTTTTTACATTGTATATCTGTAACCTGTTCCACCCTTTACATAGAGTACCACTTCCTATCACGTTCCAGTGAAAGTTTTATAGTTTACTCCATAAAACGTGAGTGTATCCTTCATTAAGTCAAACATACTTATAATTCTTTTTATTTTTGTGATTTGTATTGTTCATAATTTTGTTTGTAACTTATTTATTAAACAGTTATAGAAAGCACTAGAAAGTTTGTAAGTTCGAAATGATCTTTTCATTAGGTTTGATGACTAGCTTTTCTTTTTAAGTAGATAAACGTGAAATCCATGAATAACAACTTTATCAATCTCCTGTAATCCATTCTTTGCTTCATTTTCTTTCCTTTAGTGTGAGAAGAAATTTTCACTACTGTGGTAAGCAGCAGCCTCAATAATGGTGGTCTTTATCTTATTTTTGAACTTCAAAGGGATACAAGGAGATTTTATTGTAACATTTACATTGAATTTGTAATCCTTACCGATTTAGACATGCTTCCCTTTGGCTTAAAATTGACTAAAATAATTAAATAAAAAACATCGTTAAATTTAATCAGTTTTTAAAATTTAGATAAACAGCTATATCATTTTCATGTAGACTACTAATATTTTAAATTATGTTTATCAATTCTTTTTAAACAGCTTTTTGGATATAATTCATATGTAATAATATGCAACCATTTACACTGTATGATTCAATGATGTTTAACATATTCATAGCACTGATGTAGATTATTTTGGAAATGAACCATCTTAGTTTTCCAGGAAAGATCATTCTTTACACAATTTTTTATATCTTGTATAAACTGTATTCTATCTATCCATCTTAGTGTAAGAGTAGTAACAATCACAACTCAGTGCCTCAGTGTGGCTCTCCCGGATGCTGAGATGGAACATGAGCTGAGCATCAAAAGTCCTGGCTCCCCCTGCAGGTCCTCTCTCTCTCAGGGAAACCACTGTGCTGACTGCAGGTGGGACCACCAGTTCATGGGTTTCGTATCTGATTTTTTTCTTTAATTTATGTCTTGAGCTTGATCCACAAAGTGCCAGCAGCACAGTTGAATCTGAATACTGAGGTCTTAGGTTAGAAAAAACAACTCAAACATCTTTTGAGTTAAAAGAAAAACAAATAGCACAGGTGCCATGGTTCGCCACCGCTGTCCTGGGCGGTGCTTCCAGGGGGCGCTGGTCTCCTGGAGAGGCAGAACCAGTGACCCGATGAGAGATAAAAAGACGGTAGGCTCTATAGACCTGCCAGTTCCTCAGCGCTTGCTACTATTTGCTTCGGGTGACTAATATTCTATTTTTGATGACTGCATCCATATTTTCAAATAAAATGGGATGATTTTCATTTCCACTGTTGTGTACTTCTGTGACCAAGAATTCACTAGTCTACTTCATAAATGAACTGGGAAACTTTAGCTCAATTTTTATTTTCTGAATCAATTTATATGAAGCAATACCTTGATATTCCTTCAAAGTTTGGTAAACTCACTTTTATAGTAATCTAGGTTTTCTGATTATTTTTCAAGGGGTCTTTTAACATAATTTAAATTTCTCTGACTTACTGGCTTATTCTTAGTTTTAGTTTCCTGATGTGATTTTCACATGTTGTACTTTTCTGGTTATATATTAATTTCATCTTGGTTTCAAAGTTACCCTTTTTCTATCTACTCTTCTTTTTTTTTAAGTGTATTTCTACTGGAAACCAGTTGTTCACATTAGGGGGATAACACCATGTTCAATGCATTTATACTTGTGTCATGTTGAAGTCAAGCTAAATGCATCTCCAAAGTTGTAATTCTATGTGGCAGAAACTTTCACAGTCCTTACTTCCACCGCTCTCACTGTGCTGGGCAATACAGCGCCCCAGGACTTCTCACTCCTCAGGTAACTGCACCCACGGCTGCCTCTCCCCACCCGCCCTCCTCCTCACAACCTCTGCGAGTTGGACGTCTGGACTGCACGTCGGCGTGAGATCAAGCTGCGCTTGCCTTCCCGTGTCTGCCTTATGTCCTTGCCGTCCTGACCTCCAGTTCCATCCATTTGCGGCAAGTGGCAGGAGTTCATCTTTGTGCTGTGGCTGTCACACACACCCACACGCACACCCCACACACACACACACACACACACGTATACACATGCGCGCTCGCGCACACACACACACACACACTGATGCCCACTCGGGTGGTTCCATTTTGTGGCTACTGTGAATAGTGTCGAAGTTATTTGCTTCAAGTTTTATATTTTGCACATTTCATATACATTGTGTTTGTAGTTATTTCTTCTGTTTAATCTGTAATTTGCTTCTGTTCTTTTACATTTTTCTTGATAATATTTGACAAAAGTTCATCCACCTGGCCAACTCATTCAAAGTCAGCTTTTGAAGTTGTAAGTCCTTTACTATTGTTACTGTCTTATTTTTCTAGTTTTCTATTTTGATGATTCCTTTCCTTGTTTACTCTTTCTTAGGTGCTGTTTTTGTGTACTTTCAAACTTCTTAAATAAAATTCCTCACTATTTATATTTTTTCTAATTAGTGCTTTTAAATTAATGAGTATCTTGCTAAATTATGCCTCAGATATATTTCTAAATTAATGTGTTGATATTCAGTTCTAAGCCCTTCTTAAATTTCTATTAATTACTTTCTAATTTCCTTAAATGATTAAATATTTAGGAATATTTAGAAATACATTATTTAGGTACTAAAAGGAGATTTTAAACTTTTAAATTATATTTTAACTTTTATTACTTTATAGTGAGTATATTCTATAAGTATGATCTTTGACACTTGTTAAGACTGTCATTTCCTGTGTGGATAAAATGAGCATACATGACCTCTATGATGTGGGACACAGTTCACTGTACCTTCTGCCTCATCTTTTGCTGCTTACGTCAGCTTCCAGGATGAATGCATTAAGGCAGCCAACTAATCTTGTTGGGTTGTCTCTCTATTCTTGGAATTTCATCGTGTTGCTCTTATTCCATGATATATTACTAATATTATTTAAATAGATATATTTTATCTTTCCATTATTATTGTCACCCAAATTTAATATCATGTTTGTCAATTATATTACTTTTATAAAATTCTTTAATTTGAAAACTTTCCAGAATACATAAAAGTGCAGAGAGAACAGTACACTAAGTCCCCTGTGACCAGGACATAGACTCAGTAGTCATTTCCAGTGTATTTCATGTTCTTTTCAAAAATATTTTTTAACTTTAAAAGTCATATGATTACATATATGTCTTAACTGATAAAATATTTCTTTAATTACAATCAACATACTACTCTCTTCACTGAAAAAACAGTATTTGGTAAGATATTTCTTTTTTAATCATTTTTGCCCAACTTTTTTATGTTCACTATCAAAATTCCTCTGTTTTGGGGATTTTTGCTTTCTCTGCATGGCTTACTGTTGGAATTTTTCAGAATCCATGCTGAAGTCTTCATCTTCTAGGTGTGTTTTTAATTTCATCTGTTGTAGATACCATTTAAGGCCATGCTTCTGTAATCTTATTCCATGCGAGATATTTACAATACCCTCTCTTTGTTTCTCTTTGTTCTCCCCCTGTTTTCCCCCGATAGAAGCAATTTTCTTCTGTTGGTGTAGCTGGCTTCCTTTTACCTGCGTCATACGCTCCTAGCTGCACACTTTCTGATTTCTTGTACTTGTCGGCGCCCTCAGTCCAGTAAGAACTGAGCGCTTCTGTTCCTCTCTGTTCCCGGCCCCTGTCCCAGGGTTTACAGACACTGTCTCCTGAGGTTCCTTTAGGCTGGCAGGGAGGGATAAGCTAGAATCTCACTCAACTTGCCCTGTTGGAAGAGATGCCACAAAAACTTCTTTATGCGGTTTAGTTTCTCTTGGTGAGATTAAATGGAAAACAAAGAGGATTGTGTAAACACGTGGGGGTTTGGAGTCATTTCTTAGATTTCCCAGATAGCGATCCACATCATAAAAATCTTAAATTTCTACATATTGAAATGCATTAATATTTTATTTTTGTTAATTAAATTTATAAACTTGCCATATAAAATGCTGCTATATACATGTTTACAATTTTAATAAATATTAAAGGTCTAATAGATGCTTTTTTTCTTACTTTTGTTTTTATACAGTCACAAAGAAAGGAAAGAGATCCAAGTTTGGATCTAATGGCTGAAAATGTTTGCTTTTTAGAAACAAAGTCTAAAAAGCTGATTTCTGCTTATTAGATATCAAATTACATACATCATCCTGGGTTCAAATTAAAACTCTCATAAGTCAATCTGTTTTTTTAAATTATATAATTCATCTTTAAAAAGTACAACTTAATAGTTCTATCAGTGACTATTATTCTTCAGCTATTTAATATGTAAAATGTGTAAATGTAAGCAGTTTGCCAAATTCAACCACATTCTTGAGACCCTGTGAACACAGTGGAGAGTGGATACAGAAATAGTTCTGTTTGGTCTCATTTAGCAGTGAGATTTACAGGTCTGTCTGGTGAAATGTCCTTCCAAGAAGTCTCTATTTAAGAGATATGCACATTCAAGCAGGAAAATAGCATAGCAGAAATAAAACAGATTTTGAATAGTTTTATCCAAAGACTGCCTGACAGAGAAATCCACCTAAGCCTGACTCGAGTCCAGATCTTCAAAGCTTCCTCGAAGGCCCTTGCTCTCCAGATCTCTGTGGACTGCTGGCCGCTGCCCAGCACTTTGGAAGGGTGTTTGCAGCACTGGGTGCATCTGGATCGAAGGATTGAGGAGACCCACAGGGCCAGTTTGTTGTAACTGTTTTCTTTAGAACAGGTGAACACTCACAATGAAAATAGACCTTCATCAATGTACCTACTTGATTTAAAAAGAAGCACACGGTGTAGGAATTATAGAAAACGCTTCCACTTGATGAAATTTTCTCCTTACTCGCTTCTTAAATAATGAATCATAACAGTTTTGGAGGAAAACTCTTTTTTTGCTGTTTTGAACCACAGGCTTAACTGTCTTTCTAGTTGCTACAAATTGAAGTAGATATTGAGGCTAAAGATTTAGTCTTCAAAACGTTCAGCTGTGGCACAAAGTGAGATGTCTTATGTACATGTACCAACTTCTCATGATACACTTCATTCTGTACTGGAAACATGTACTAATAAGCACGAATAAACCAAATATTCAGTTTCTGGCCCTAGAAATAGAGTAAATTCTTCAATTTTGAGTTCTTTGATACCTCATCTCTATCTCACTGAGACACAGAGAAGTTGCTGCTCACTTTACAGCAAGACATAGGCTAATTCAGGTCCACCAGAGGCAGGCCCACTTCCTGCAGACGTCCACTACATTCCCCAATACAGCGTTTCCCCATCCAGGAGCCAGTGACCCAAAATAATCCCAATTTTTGTTTTTCCTGAGCACAAAACCCATAAATCAAGATGCCCGCCAGGCCCACATCAAACACCTCACACGCAGAACGCTCCCCGCTGACACCACGTTCCCCGGCCGCTTGCGTCCTCCCCGTCTTTCTGCTGCGTCTCAGTGGCAGCCTTGTCCCTGGGAGGCGCCTCATGGACATGCATGAGATGTTCGCCTGTTTGGTGAACATGAGCAGATCTCGTCACGCCATTGCTCTTCTTGGAAACACCCAGACACCCGCTCCTGCTGCAGGCGGAAGCCACCTCGTCTGAGCCAGTTCTTAAAAATCAGACCCTTCCTTTTTTGTCCAGAATTGTCTCATTTCCATGCATGAATAAAGTGCTGTAATTCCTACCTTAATGTCGCCTGTGAGTACTTGGAAATGTCTATAAAAGAGAAACTACGACTACATAAGTCACCCAGGAGATTCAGTTTTTATTTGTTTTTTAGTAGTAAAAATAACCTGAAAGAGCTATAATTATAAGATAATCAAATAATTGAAGATAATTGCCCAGTAGTAATCTGTCTCAAGATATTAAAAGCTTAGAGTGATATGGCCCGTGAAGCAACCCTTTTCCTGATTCTAAATAAGAATTTCCTATGTGATAAATTGGTTTCATTTTTTTTTTTTTTTATGCTGGTGTATGCACTTTTAAATCAGTACTCTCTGAACGTGCTGACTGGCATGGCTAGAATATCTATTTAAGTACGCCAGACTCTCACCAGCAGAAGCATTGGAATCCTGACTTTCAAAGGCAAAAATGGTGGGCTGAGTTGGCCTCACCATACACACAAACAGGAGGTTTATAGGGAATTTAAAGTGGGAATGAGTATAGAATGTCCTTAAGAAAATAGTAACTTGGGCGACCAATAAAAGACATTTAGCAAGGTATAAATATTTCTCTTCATTCTTCAGGTCAAATAAAGAGCATGAATTGGTTTATAAATTTGATATGTAAGCCGCAAAGAAGAAACTGTATTTTAAACATCCAAGAGTATTCAGTGAGAGAAAAGAGAGAAACCCAGCCCAGCTGTTTGGAGCCTTTATGGCTAAGGGAGCGGCTCCTTGTCCCAGGTACTGCCAGATCCACAGGGGAAAACAGCCCTCAGTCTAGATCTGAGGGCAGCCATGGCCTCAGGGACACAGATGTTTGAGTCAGTAGAGTCCAACAGAAAGACTGGAGCGAGAAGGCTGCTCTATGGTAGGGTGGCTGATCATCACACATCTCCACATGTGATGCTTCTTGGTGTGTGCATGCGTTTGTTTTCATTTTCGGCACTAGGCACTGAACCAAGGACTTTCAAACTAAGCTGCACCCCTGGCCCTTCTAGATTTTAATTTCTTATTTTGAAGTGGGCCATGGTGGTGTACTTCTTTAATCCCAGCACTCAGGGGGTTGAGTCAGGATTGCCAGCAGTTCTAGGTTAGCCTGGGCTACATCATGAGTTCAAGGACAACTTGGAATACATAGTGAGAACTTGCCCTAAAAGATGCACCAATATTTTGAGACAGAGTCTTGCTCTGACTTAAGTTGCCCAGGTAGGGCTTGAATCTATGATTTGCCTGCCTCAGGCTCCCAGAATACATACATTAAAATTGTAACCCAATATCCAACTTTGTCAGATTTTGACATTTTACTATATTGATTTTATATTTTTAAGGAAATGAATTACCGAAACAGCAGCAACTCTGTGTCTTTATTCTCTCCTTTGTTTCTTAAATGAAAATGTATTTCTAATTTAGTGTTCTGTAGCAATGTTTTGTAACATTGCTAACTTCTGTAGCACTGTTTTCATGCATTTCTTACTTACACAATAAAGTATCTGCCCCTAAGGAGTATCTTTGTTCCTTTAAACTTCGTATGTACAGAAAAATTCTCTTTGCATTTGTTCACTCTTTCATCTCGTTTCTTCAAAGTTGTATTTCTGAGATTTTTCTAATTCTGATACATGCAACCTTTTCTATTTTCATTTACACTCGTATATGCATGTAGTGGTTAGACTTTAACCTATGTATGCTCTTTTTATTGATCATATAAATTGTTCTCTTATAGCCTTTTCTATTATAGTTAATCTTGCAATGCACTTTTACAGCTGTGGGAAGCTTCTCCAAGGGAGAACAGCTGGATCTTGGGATTTATGCATTTCTGACTTGGGGTACACTGACTGCCTCATCACTCTGTAGGATGTGCGTTTGAGCTTCTGCGACAAACTTCAGCCACCCTCTTCACAAGATCATCTATCTGAGAAAGAGTTTTTGGACTAAAGAAACCATTTTAGAGCAGGTAACAAATTGTGTGGTTGTAGATACTTCCCATTCTTCATTTAAATGCTATGCTCTTGATTCTTGTCTTGAGAATTAGTTATGTGTCTTTTGATATTCAAACAAATGTACCTTATTTTCCTCTATCATTATTATTATTATTATCATTTTGATTTTCTGAGACAGGGTCCTGCTGCATAGTTCAGGCTGGCCTTGAACTCACAGCAGTCCTCTTGCCTGTGCCCCCAGAGTGCCGGGATTACAGTGCTGTGTCACCACCCCTTGCTCCTCCATTGTTAACCCTGTGTTTACAGTCCCAATTTGAACCTGATCTTGGATCAGACTTTGGTTATTTCCTCCCATCCTCATCTGTACACTGAAATCCCAGTCTCCAAGGCAACACAACAGGAAGTGGGTCCTTGGAGAGGCGATCCAGTCCTGAGGGTCCAGCCCAGTGGGCGGGATGCCTGCCCCTTCCATCACAGAGGACACTGGAGGAGGACAGCCAGCGGTGCCCACTCCAGGCAGAGCTTAGCTGGAGTGTGGGCTTCCCTGCCCCAGATGTGTGAGGAGCACATTTCTGTTGTCTATGCGCTACCTGCTCACAATATTTATGACAGCTCAGACAGACTAAAGTAAGTGTCTTAAATAATATTATTTGTTCTGCTAAAGATCACACATCAAACTTACAGTTGAAGTTTATCAGCATGATCAGAAAATTTGTTCTTTCTTTTTTCCTTGTTATCTCTCAACACAGCATTTGCTTATGTTGTTTGAGCACCACATATGCAAGCACATAATAATATCTGTTTGCAAATATAAGATCATATGTATATACCAAGATGGAAAGAACGATACCCTCCTCTACAAGAATGTCAAGAAATGTCTTCATGAAGACATTTCATTAAAACTACAGCTATTTCTTTCATGTGTGTGTATATCTGTATCTATATCAGTATATATAGAAAGAGCACTATAGATATATAAACGTATAGCTGATTACTGTAAATTTTACAAATCAGATGTCAACTGGAAACCTTAAAAGAAGTAGTTATTTGTGATAATGATGTTTATCTTAATGAGAACAAGCAAAAAAGTAATTTCATCTCAGTCCACCAAAATCTAAATTAAAACACAATAAAGCTTAATCATATAATTACATCAAATTAGAAGATATTCCTTTTTAGCAAAAGAAATTATTGCATACTAACAGTACAAAATATACCTTCTAAGGTTTTTCAGGAAATATTTTCTTTGACATTTTATTTAGTTCAATCGATATTAAATTTATCTATAATTATTTGGAGTTATAATACAAAATTTACACACAAATCAACAGTTTATAATCATAGAATATTAAGGTTTGTGGTTTATTATAATAAAATCAAAATATACATTAATAATTTTAACTATTTTATACTACAAGACTACATTTCTTTTAAAATAGCAAAACTATGAATTCCAAAATGATTGCAAACCACTCACAATATTAGGATTAAATTACATGATTATTTATTGCTTCTGACAGAGTTTTGCCCTTTCCCCCCAAAAAAATTCATCTACCTCAAACCTTCCATAAATACTTTATAGTACAAAATATTTGCATAAGAGGTAAACATCATGTGCACGCTCCTGTCTGCACTTTCCATGTAGAAACTGGGACTTTTGGAATTTAGTTCTTTAACCTCACATGTTAGCTCAACGGTTCAAATATTGCTACCACACTGAGAAAAATAGACCTTTCCATAAAAACTTTTCAAATATCTTTTTCCTAAACTCTCTTTAAGACTAATCAAAGCATACGTGACATTCTGAAAAGAGAGGACGTCAGTTTTGATTTACATTTGTCTTAATGATGTATGTGAAGTATATTTAACTTTGACAAAAATCAGGGTTTAATGAATTTATTATTTTGTAGAAATATAAAAGATACCAAGTTGCCCTTGGAAGTTCAATTTAGAAATATTTAAAAATAGGCATAGAGTTTGTTAACTTATCTTTTAGCTCAGTCCACACAATCAACAAGAATAAAACATAACACCCCATGAGAACCAACTACAGATCAAAGAAAAGTTCAAAGTAAAACCATTTTGCCAGCATGTTATAAATGAGCATTATTTAATCAACAAAATGATGAGACCTAGTTACACGTCTCCTACTGTTATGGCTTTTGGAGATTACTAAATAATTCTACAGCTGTTCTACATCTCTTAAGTATTTGATTGATTTTTCAAAAATTTTGTTCAACCATGTAAATGCAATATTTTGAGCTTCTTAGGAAAGAAAAACTTTTACATAAATTAATTATTTAAGCTATCCATTTCTAAAGAAACTCTTAAAATTCCCAATAAATTGGATGGAAATGAGTGCAGACAGCCAGGATTCCGTTTCGCAGCAGAAGTCACTGGAATGCCTGTGGGAAAACACACCAGGAAGACAAAGGCATGAACTGAAGACGGAACTCCAAGGCCCGGGCATTCGAACCCCTCTTCACAGAGGGCTGATCTGTTAGACTGCTGGAAACCACCGTACTGACTATAGTTTCTTTCTCATTATTTCCAAACAGACTTGGCAAAATCAGTGGTAAAAAACCATTATTTCTGTAGATTGAACATAATCACAGTTGCTCTAGGTGTTCTGAACAACGAAAAGATTAAAAAATTAAATGCAGTTCAGATATTCTCTATCTTTAAAATATATATATATAAATATTTGCCCCATTTTCTTATATGAGATTGTACTATACTAATATTTCCAATTTATTTTAAGTAATTAACATAAATTAATATCGTTACAGCCAAAGCAGTCAGATTTTTATACATGACATAGTATAGGTTCCCAAAATGTTGTCTGATATCTAAGTTTAGGTAGAAGTAATTTAAAAATGGTGTGGACATTTGTATTTGAATTAAATGTATTTTCACAGTATTTGAACCCAATTTCCCAATATTTGAACCTTCTGTTGTAACTTTTCTCTGCCTGTGGAAATCTTACACATAGAGCCCAGCCCCCCAGTCAGCTCTGAGCTCCAGGGAGAGGGTATGTCACCGCATCCGTACTTGCAATACGCATCTGTGGGTAACACGCAGTCAGCTGTCTGACCTGGCTACGGCTCTTCTTATGCATTACTCTTTACAAGTTCGTTGTAGTTCACCGGTATTAAATTTGTTAGTTAACGTCTCCTTACAGGGAAATATCTACTAACACACATGCGCGTAATATCAGAATGCAGGTGCTGGACCTCACATGCCAGGCTGACTGCTCTGAAAAGGGCAAAGCTCAAAGAAAACAAAGGCCGAGCACAGACCACACTGTGGACACGGACTGTCACCGACGATAGTGAGTCCACCCTGGGTTTGCACAGATGTTCCTGCAAGGAGAATGCATGAGAACGCAGCCGAGTGCTGTGGTGCTTTCTGAACAGCCTTCTGCCTTTCCTAAGAGGGAGTGACCGATTTCCACTTCACACCCTCCAGGGCGTGGACGGGCGGAACAGAAGAAAGCGAGGGGCTGTGAGGGTCGAAGGCAAGATGAGCCCTTCTCAGTCAGACGGAATGCTCTGCAAGTGTTCCGGGGAAGCAGGACTCCGAACCCTCGAGCTGCTCACCAGTGGGAAGGGCACCGTGCTGGTGCCGTGAGTGTGCGGGCTTTACCTGCGGCGGCTCGACTTGCTGTTAAACTGCGGAAAACGGCGAGTGAGCTCAGCCTTCCTCTCCTTAAAGCGTGGACTGTGCAGCAGTGCCTACCCCAGCCCAGCTGCCCTCCAAGGTCTCCACGCGTCACATGTGGCTTCTCATCCACTCAGACACAACCCAGTAGCCCCACACGCTTGGGGTAGCAAAGGAAGCAGACGGAAATCACACACAGAACGACAAACACTTAGGGGGCAGGAAGCCCATACTAACAGACTTGGTTATAAATAAAATAAGCTCACCCTTCCCATGGTCCTTAACTCTTTACTTTTCTTCAGACTTTTGCTAGCAGTGTGTCTTCATGTAGATTCTTTTCACAGACGAAGTGCGAGCTGGCAGCTACCTGTCCTCCTGCAGAAGCAGCCGTTTCACCCTGTCTACTTTCCCTGCGGTTGCTCTTCCTTTTCCTGGGGATCTGGGTTTCCCCCGGAGCCAGAATTCACTGCTGCCGTGGCTTCTGCCTCGTAACAAACCCCGTCTGCATGTCACCCCGTCAGGGAGCCGTGTGCATGAAGATACTTCCCTTATTTTGTTAAAATGTTTTCCCCTATCTTATTAAAATACGCATCAAGCACTCTGTCCCGGGAGAGCTCCGCACGTATTCCGGAAACCCACCGCGCAGCCCGGACCGGCCTGCGAGCCCGCTGCTCCTTACAAATCACGAGCGACCCGGGAGCCGCGTTAACGCCCTTCTGTGAGTCAGCCGATGGGGGCCGGCGGCCGGGGGAGTCCTGGAGCGCCGCGCAGGCCAGGCCCGCCGCGGAGCACG